CCCACACACACACACACACACACACACACACACACACACACACACACACACACACACACACACACACACACACACACACACACACACAGTCATCAGCCCCCCACAGGGTGCCAATATCATCCAGAGCTAATAACAGGAGTCATTTTCTCCCAGCCATGCCGGTGTTTATCTCATGTGGCTCGACCTGCGCTCAGATTGCATTTACATTGCTGTTTTCTCATTGTGCCGTGTGTGTGTTTGTAGGGTGTGAAAAAAATTGAAACTGTGAAGGCTTTTTTTGTTCTCCGTCTCTCACTTTCCATCTAGCTCGGAAAATGTGCAGAGCATGTTATTTCTGTCTCACCTGCTCTCTGCTTTGATAACCTTACTAACACTGGGAGGTGCCTTCACTGAAAAATCTGAAAAATAAATCACATGCTAACTATAGATAAAAACATAATTGAGAAGTTAAAAAAACAAGAAGAAAATACAGTATGTTTTCAACTCATGAACCCATTACTTATTTAATTTAACATGCATAGCTGACATCCCGCATTATTTCTATTCCTTTTTTCACAATTTTTCTCAAATGTCTTGTGTGTTGCAGTATTCTGAGACATAAGATGTTCGCTATTTTGCATAAGCATTTAAATGTATATAGGTTAATGCATTGGACACATAAGACACAATGTAATACTGATCAACAGGAAGTGTGACATCACATTATCTCAGCTGTCATTCCCGTGTGAAGGTCAGACATCACGCTGAATTATGAGCAGCCTGTGATTTTAATAAAGTCCAGCTGGGATTACTACTAATAATGACAGTAATAATAGGCAGTGGTATAAAATGCCCCTCCTCCCTTTTAACTACGTCTTGTAATTAGCATCACACTGTGTGATTGATTGAGGCTTAATACTCCTTTGATAGACGGTTTAAATAGGTCATTCTCACTGATGGTGTTATGGATACCAATGAGGAAGATATTTAATTCCTGTCATGTTCACTGTTGATTAAATTCAAATATCTGCCACAACGTAAAACAGCTATTACAGCACAGCAGAGTGATGAAGGTGCATCTTCTGTATACTTCTTTCAAACAGGAAGTGGTGCATCTTGAACGTGTAATCCACCCTGGTAAGGTAAAAACGAAGCCCAGCGTAATGAAGTTATTTCAGGCCACATTACAAGGCAATGCGTGCTCATGCTTTCATGATAGAGAGGGAATAATCAGCTGCCGGAGATAAAGGCGGGGTAATCTATCATCGGCCTGCAGGGCGCTGGGGTTTTTCGATCTGCGGACACCTCTTATATCAAAGAGGACGATCCATCATTAAACATGCTAACAAGGCGAGGGATTTTAAACATGGAAGATAACGCAGGTGCTCCGTTATCAGCACTCTCCGAGACCTCTGCTAACGCTGATGGGGAACACTCCCTTATCTCCGTCCAAGAGAAAACTGACCTTGTGACAGTGAAAGAGAGCAGCCCAAAGAAAGTGGTCCACAAAGAAAGTGAAAAACTTAAAAGGGCCTTATTCTGATCATTTAGTGTGATCTGTGTGACTATAATATTTCATTTAAAGCATCTTTACTAGGGATACTGTGCTGATTCTTTATACATTTCTTCTGTAAATTGCTTTCCGTATGTTGGACATGTTGTGTTTAGCACATACTGTACTGTAGGGTTGCATAATCTGCTCACAAAGGAGAGTTGTTTTCTGGGATGGCATTAAAAACAAGTGTGATTGCTTCTCCATTTTAGCCAGTAGTGCTTTTGAGTGCTTTTTAATTCTGTGTGATGCAGGAGGCAGCGGCGGATTACAGTACCAGGTACCACTCAGTGAACAACAACCAGTTTATTTCTGGCTCCAGCACAGGATAATAACTGTTGCAAGTCTTCATTCTGCCTTTAGCCGACTGGTCACTTTTTGCTCCAACCACGTAAACAGACTTCAATAAGCAAACAGCAAATGTTAGTACTGTAAATACGTACAGCAGTGGTTCTCACATTTTTTCTGTCAGGCCCCCCCTTTGGAGAAAAAAAAAAGTCGGATCCCCCCCAACACAAATAGTCACGTAATGGGCCAAGTTAACATTTATTAAAATATATCAATATGAACGTGAGCATTCCTTTACAAAAAAATAAAAAACCCCTTTGCTAGAACAGTGATAATAAAACAATGCTCCATAAGTGCTCAAAAAAATAAATACATAATACAATTGTGCAATCCCTTTGCTAGAACAATAAGTTATAATACTTTGCCACTTTGCAATCTGTGCAAAAAAATGAAAAGAAAGAAAATGCTGATATTTGGCAAAGAAGCTTGTCTTAGCATTAGTGGCTGCCAGTGGCGGCGCTAGGGGGTAGCTACTTGGGCTCAAGCCCCGGATGTTTTCTGAAAAGCCCCGGATGTTTCACTTAAAAAAAAAATAATAATAATTGTTGCACCCTCGCCTAACGTAACTTATGTCCCTTCGTTGCGAACGGAGCGCCTCTCCTTTTCCGGTGTCTCCTTATTTGTCTTCCCGGGGTTGGTACCGGGTGGTACGTTCCCTTCAGAGAAACGACGAAAACCACCGTCTGATGTAGCGGTGAATGTCGCGGACCGTATACATGATGTCGGAAAGAGGTCGGCGGGAAAGCTCGGCCCGTTACCGGCCGGGCGACCCGGGGTTGGGTTAAGGGGACTATCCCACCTCTTAGATGATTCGCCCTCGTGGTGAAGACACTTGCATCTTTTAATTTAGTTTAGACGCTAGTCAGCACGATAGTCTCAGACGAACGGGTCAAAGAAAAAATCTCTAAACCCCGTACCCTCCTTTCCTCTCCCCAACCACAAAAGACTGTGAACCCACTCTAGGACCTTTGTGGCCCCCTCTGTATAAGTAACATATTTTTCATGTTCCGACGGTAAACGTACTATCGCAGGGGAAAATTTCGCCTGTTTTCCGTGAACTCTTGTGAATAAGTAATTGTGGGGAAATTACTTCGTTTGATTACGGAATTGAGTGAGTTTTATGTCATCAAAATGAATAAAGCCACGTTTTTTTTTTTAGCTTACGACGCATCTCTAAAATTTACTACGCCTTATCAGAGTGAACTAGACAGCGTAACGAATAGCAAAATTTCTAGGATAAGATGGTGGTAGAAACAAAACACTGGCCATTTCTCACATTCTCCGAGTGCGAAAGACCTGACAACGGGACAGTCAAGGCAACGGACAGTCAGGCGTAACTATACCAAGGCAAGTCGGGCCCCAGAACGGTAGCCCCTCCTGGCCCCTCCAAAAGGCTACCGGACCGGACAAATACACCGGATTACCCGGACCTCCGCTAAGAAAAAAAATACCATACATAACGACTTGCGTTGCGACGCGTTTACACCCAGACTGAGACGGGAAGTGTACTAACACCCTGACCGAACAGAATGTACTACACCGGACGGCTGTACGGTGAAAGTAAGTCAAGTATGTGATTTCGGGAGCTAACAGAGCACCAGTAAGTTCGAGCCAAAAAATCCCACACACAATCCCACGACAAAGCGCTAGCCCTGGCTCCTCTCTTTCGCGCGATTTGGCCAATGCACATAACCGAACGAATCGGTAGACCACGGGATCGTCGACGGCGATTGCCTATATTACTCGGGACAGGTTGTTCCCCTCCCTCTCAGGAGAGGACGAGTCTGACTCGTCTGACTATTGCTGTCGAGTCCCACTCCATTCTCCTAAGAGACCTCACCAGAATCCTAATCAATTTGAATCCAGATTCGAAGAGACACCAGAGTTTGAAACGGCGTTGGGAAACACATTAGTAGTTAAAAGGTAAAACTTCCTCACTATCAACTCTAGACACATCTAATATTATTTTTTCTGCAATCACTTTTATATACCAATTCTAGTGTGAAAATTTTGAACAAAAACTCTTCGATTTTATCAGAAACGGACGACGGGTTTCCTCCCTCTCTCCCTCCTCTCCTCCCTCTGTTCCTCCCGACTAAGTTCCTCGGGTCATTGTGTGAGTGTTATGATATTTACTTGGTTTTTGTTTTAATTTATTTGTATCAAAGTTCAATACACACTATTACATCAACCATACCGGTACAAGATACTACCAATACTATAATTTACTGTACAAAGACAGTAATACCCCATGGGACAAACTAAGGGGGAGTTTCACGTGGTCTAACTACAGTAATTCGGTTTAAATTTTTTTTTAGAATGACCACCTCGTACGAGGTGCATGGGGGGATATCCTAACTCCAGGCGGCGGGTGAATTTTAATACAGTGTAGTTATCAAGGATAAAAAAAAATTATCTAAACGTAAAAATTTATCATTAGGATTAGCAGGTAATACAATAAACGCCATCATCTATCTCCCGATAGCGTGATACCCGTCGTTGCGACATATTTATAACCTAGTTTATTTAGGTCGTTTTACCAGTGTTTTTTGACCATCACCGGACCGACCAACCCACCCCCGACCTCATATGTAAGGGCCGGGACTGAATAACAAGGCGTAAGGTCGGGGACCAAGGGCAACCCGAATTCACAAATGACTTTGCTCTCGGCCATATTAAGGTGCGGCGGCTTTTTGTTTTATTTTTAAACCGTTATGCGAATAAAAAATCGGACAAGAATTTTCATCTGACTCCGACACTTCCCGCAATTGCAATGTAGAAATCTCATTAAAAAACAGTAAAGACAATATGTATGATTGTATATTCAATATTAATCACACCAATGAGGTACAAATGATCGATATTGTAATTGCAATGTAGGTGAGAAAAAGGTGAAGAATGAGTCAGTCGGCTGACGTCTATAGTGGTAATCCAAGTGTTTGGACTTTTGTAGTAGGTAAAAAGAAGTGACGGACACTACTGTAACAACAGTCGACGGACTATGACGACGACGACGACGTCGAACACCACGGACGAAGTTACTTTTATGAAAGATTATAGGTATTTAAATATCGGATAACTCGAATTTCGAACAGTCCGAGATCTTCCTATGAAGTAGAAGTCCCGTCGCCTTCGATGCGTCTGCGTCCGATTACCAGCGCGTCGCCGACGGAGAGAC